AGCATCTGAGCCATTCAGGGCTGGCCTGGGACTGGGAATTGAAGGGACACCCAGCACTCCCTTGCATGAAAAGAAAGTCAGAATACCCTCACACATACCTGTTGTTTTTTTCCTGAGTGTTGGACCTTTTCAAATTTTATAACTATTCTCCATTCCTGTTTCCCCCCATCTCCTACTCCCAATACTAGTCTTCTGTAAAATAGTAATGTACTTTTTCTCTGGTAATTATTTCTTTTATTGGATTAGAATTAGTCTTGTATGTGTTCATTAAAACATTATTTTTAATAACAATGTCCTAGAAATAACAAAAAATCTTATAGTAAGAGGTAATTTAAATATATAATGATAGAGGGAATGCAGACTGGTGCAGCCACTGTGGAGAACAGTATGGAGTTCCCTCAAAAAACTAAAAATGGAACTCCCATTTGACCCAATGATCCCACTTCTAGAAATATATCCCAAGAAACCAGAAACACCAATCAGAAAGGATATATGCACCCCTATGTTCATAGCTGCACAATTCACCATAGCTAAGATTTGGAAACAGCCTAAGTGCCCATCAGCAGATGAGTGGATTAAAAAACTATGGTATATCTACACAATGGAATACTACGCTGTGGTAAAAAAGAAGGAACTCTTGCCATTTGCAACAGCATGGATGGAACTGGAGAGCATTATGCTAAGTGAAATAAGCCAGTCAGAGAAAGATAAATACCACATGATCTCACTCATTTGTGGAATATAGAGAACAACATTGACTGATGAACAGGGACTGATCCAAAGACAGAGAAACAGCGATCAGACTATTAATCCCCAGAGGGAAAGTAGGGGAGGGTGGGGGTAAGGGGAAGAGATCAACCAAAGGACTTGTATGCATGCATATAAGCCAAATCAATGGACATGGACAACAGGGGGATGAAAGCATGAGTGGGGGGGAGGATGGGGGTTAATGGGGGGGATGAGGACACCCTTGTAATACCTTAACCAATAAAGAAATTAAAGATAAAAAAAGAAAAGAAAGGAGAAAAATCATATTGTTTTTTTAAAAAAAAACAACAGATATTTTTGAAAAAGACCAGACAGAATTTCTAGAAATAGTAAAAGCAGTCAATTAAATTAAAAACTCAATGAGAAGGTTAAGCAGTGGACTAGACAGTTGAAAAAAGAATTTATTGAACTTTGAAAATAGATCAGAAAAATTACCATTCTAATCAATGCAAAAATCAAAACCAGAAAATAATATAAAGTAAAAATCATAATCTGTTTACCAAGTGGTAACCTTTTATTTTTTTTACTTTTTTTGTTGTTGACATTATTATAGACCAAGTGGTAACCTTTTGTTAATATTTTTTTGTGTATATATTTCCCTATATACATACATATATTGAGCATATATATATATGTATGTAATGTAGGTTATAGCAGACATAATAATATATTATAGCTTAAATATATAATGATAGATTCATAGTCTGGAATACTGTGTAGAAAATAAAATCCTATATAATAAAAGGCTAATATGCAAATTGTCCCCACGGGCAGGAATTTGACCAACAGGGAGCGGCATGGAACATGGCGGGCATCAGCAATGTGGTACTGGCAGGGGGGCAGTGGAGGCACTGCTGGCCCTGATGGACCCCAACAAGAGTGGGACTGCAGTGGGATAGTGGAGCAAGTGAGCAGGCAGTGCCAGGCCAAGGCGGGTGCAAAGGGAGGCCCCAGCCAGCAGTGGCAGCAGGCAGCCAGGAGAAGGGAGGCCCTGGCTGGCACCCAGCAGCCGCTAGGGACCCTACCCATGCATGAATTTCATGCACTGGGCTTCTAGTGATGTTATAAAATAAGAATTGACATAGAAAAATTCACAATATGTCATTAAATAAAAAAATAGGATACAAAATCATGTGTGAGCTGTGTGTGTGTGTGTGTGTGTGTGTGTGTGTGTATGCATACAGCACTGGTAATTTTTTTCTTGGTGTTTTTCTGTATTTCCCAAATTTTCTGCATTGAATGCTGCAGTCTGAGTTGGGGCACTACAAGGGGGAGTATAAAGACTCTGAGAACACATACAAAGGTTTCAAGCAAGGCTCCCCTCAGTTAGTAAATTTTGAAGAAAGCTAAAGGCAAAGAGAAACTCCGGAATATGCTGTTCTACAAGTGCAAAGGTGAGGAGATGGTGTCTATTGATGGTGAGGACGTAAGGCCCACCAAAAAAGATGGGATTCTATTAAAAAAGCAATGCAGAGAAACTCCGAGTTTCTGAATAACGGGTGAATTGATGGAAGTAGTATTGGAGAATTATTTTAGCCATAGAAGGGTGGATTGGGTTGTAGGCAGGGAGATCTGCCAGAAGACTCTCAGTTTGCATATTTGACCTGAGGTAATGAGAGCCTGGATTAAACTTGTGGCAATAAAACCAGAAAGGAAGGAGCAGGTGGATCTGAGAGATGTTACCAAGGAAGAATCAGAGATAGATATTCAAATTTGCCTAATATATGCCAAGTGGTAGTGGAAACCATATAAGGAGACACTTTCCAATGAAATGGATGTTAAGAGAGAATAGCTGAGGACTGAGTTTTCAAGGATTACAACAGTTATTGGGAGGAGGAAAGAAAAGGAGCCAGTGAAGGAGACAGAGACTGATGGCTTGCAGTGGTTCTCAACCTTCTGGCTCTTTAAATACAGTTCCTCATGTTGTGACCCCAACCATAAAATTATTTTCGTTGCTACCTCATAACTGTAATTTTGCTACTGTTATGAATCATAATGTAAATATCTGATATGCAGGATGGTCTTAGGCGACCCCTGTGAAAGGGTCGTTTGACCGCCAAAGGGGTCGCAACCCACAGGTTGAGAACCGCTGGTTTAGAGAGATAAGAAGAGAAAACTGAGAATTCAATGTCATGACAGCCAAGGGCAGCACAGTTACAGGAAGGAGTAAGTGGTTTGATGGTATCAAGTTCATCCTTGAGGTCAAACATTCAAACTGAGCAGAAACCCTTGAATTTGGTGAGGAAGTTGTTACTGAATTTATTTATAGAGAGAGGTTTTAACAGAAAGTTCTGAACTCTAGAAGGTTCCAGGGAAGACAAAGCTGGGGAAATAGAGGTAGCTCATGCATACCACCCATGTGACAAGATTAATGTGTTAGGACTGAGAAGAACAAGATCAAGCTTTGTCATTCTAGTTCTGCTATTTAACCACTTGAAGTGGTTTCCTTTTCTGAAAACAGGAATAATCCCACTAGCTCATAAACTGTTGAAAATATAATATAAGTTTAAGTGACTCCTTTTATGCTATAGTGAAGGGGCTTCTTCTTCCATGCCCCCCAACAAATAATCCCTAGAGATTTCTGGGCATGTTTTAAGAACAGTCTTTTACCTTAACAGTCCTGTCCTTAGGCTGGTACTATTTTAAGAATTTCCTGTATGTACCTTCTGGAATTTGTCAGGCCAAGTCACTTTGTCAATTCTTCCCTGAGCCCCTCTGAAGTGAAGACATTGAGGCACGGTGATTGGGAGGGAGCCGCTGGTCAGGATTATGTGTAATGTCTCAGATACCTGGGTAGAGGCTGTTAAAGCAAGGAAGGCTCTATTTGAGACCCCAAGTATAGTTTGTGCCAAACACATACCCCAACAACAGAGGCTGTATGTAGCTTCTTAGAGGATGGTAGGCAGAGGTACCAGAAAACCTTCCTTTTTAAACCATAGCACCTGCAGACTAAATGGCCCCTAGACTGCATGCTCTGGAACATGCAGATTGATTTTCAAGGTGTGCATAAAGGCGTATACTTTTCTTTCATCCTTTCTATTCTCACTTGGCAACCACTTGCAACCAGATCTAACCAGAACTACCTCATTTTTTTCCCTATGTACTGTCTTTTGAGCACTTTTCCTTTGTGAAGTTGAATCTGTTCCCAGTTTGATATACTGTGGATTGATCTTTGTCTTATTGCCTTGTTTCCCCTAAAAGAAGATTCCCTCTGAGAAAAAAAAAGTGGCTGCCACACAACCCATCAGGGCCTAGACCTGTGGCCAAGCTCTGGAGAGGTACAGTGAGTACTGGCCTAACTGGATGCAGGTGGGGGAAGTGAGTATATTTTCTAAAACTGGCAATTTTCAGTCCCTGAGCCATTTAGACAGTGTAGTCAAAGGGCCAGTTTAATGTCCCTGCTCCTTTTAATGGAAGAACTTGCTTTCCTTTCTGGGAAGGTGGCTTACCTTGTTAAAACGGGGTCACATCATGGATGGGGCACTCACATGCTAAGATGTGTGGGCATCTCTAAAAACATGTCAGGAGATCAGAGCAAGAGTATTTCCAAGGAGGTTGGTGTATTATCAGAAACTTTATTGGAAAACCAGTGAGTCCTATTCTGCTTTGGATTTTCTTGCAAGTGCCTAACCATTCAGTCACCGAATTTGGTCTGAGCGTCTTCTGAATAAGATACTGTCCTCCACTGAGGGAAGGAGGGCTAAAAAATTAGGCCAGGGTCCTTTGTCTATGATAGTAATTGCCATAAGATGACGAAAGGGGTCTCGGCTAACGCTTCACTGAAGAGCTGAAGGAACCCGGGGCAGGGACTGCTTTGGGGGGCCAGATTATTATACCTGGGGCAAAGCAGGGCCTGCAGGGCAGGTGGCCAGAACTTGGAAGGAAATCTCTTCCGAAGCCCAGGGTCCAGGCTTGGCCCCAGCAAGCTGCCCTGACAGCCTGTGATGCCTAGGGTCTCGCGCATTCCGAGTCCCCGCCCCCTTCCCCCTCCCCGGCCTCACCCCCTCCCTGTCTCCTTCTCCCCTCACCAGCTGTCCCCATTCCCTGGAGCCGCGAGACAGCCGGATCCTGGGAAGAGCCAGCCTGGGACTGGAGGGGGCGTGGTGGGGAAGGGGAGGAGGGGCAAGGGTTCAGGAATAAGGAGGCCCCAGCAGCAGGCACCCCCAGCCACTGTGTATCCTAGCCCGCGGGAGAGCTGGGTTCCTTCGCCTTGTTCTTTGCTAACGCTCGTCCAGGGGGAAAGGTCAGCAGGGTCCTGGAGCCGCCCTGTCACTCCCAGACAGCCATGAACTGCAGCGAGAGCCAGCGGCTGCGAACCCTCCTGAACCGCCTGCTGCTGGAGCTGCAGCACCGGGGCAACGCCAGTGGCCTGGGCGCTGGCCTCGGACCCAACAGGGGCATGGGGGTCGTGCCTGACACCTTCTTGGGCAGCGAGGTGACCAGTCCCAAGGGCGACGACGCGTATCTCTATATTCTGCTTATCATGATCTTCTACGCGTGCCTGGCCGGAGGCCTCATCCTGGCCTACACCCGCTCCCGCAAGCTCATGGAAGCCAAGGACCAGATGTCCCAGGCCTGCCCCGAACACCAGTGGGTCATGGGAGGCGCCCTGGCCGCAGCCAACGCCGAGACTGCCTCCGGTTCACCTGCTGAGAGACGCCATCAGCTCGCCCCTGGGGAAATGCCCGCCCTCGCCCAGAGCACCGAGGGGGTCTAGAACCACAACCGCAGCTCAGCTCTCTTATTATCCCTGGCGTGGTCCCTGCCTCTTCCTTTCCTCCTCTTCCAGGGTTCGCCTCACCTAAGGCCCACACAGTGATGAGCAGCCAGAAAACCTTGTTTGGAAGAAGCATCATCCTACCCACTCGGGGCCAGTTTCTCCCTCTTCTCTCTCCTCTCTCCTGCTTCCCCCCATTCACTTCCCCCTCCATTCCCACCCTACACATCCAACTGCGTTAAAACTGCCTCTGCTCTCTTCTCTTCAGACAGCCCACACTCAAGCCCTCTGGGAACTGAATCCAACACACCCAACACTTGGCACTGAACTGAAGCAATGAAGTCTATCAGGACTCTGGGCCATCTAACAGGCAGCTGCTCCAGGGGCTGCCAGGGACTGCTCACTCTGCAGAGCCAATGGACTTGCCATCACTGCCAGGCCCCGCTGCAGCAGCTCCAGCTTCCTGTTGCCTTAGGGACAGAGACAACGAAAATGGAGAGACTTTAGATATCATTTCCTTCCCTCCCTCTTTCAGCAGGGAGCTAGCAGGACATTAGGACGAGTCTGTGGAATAGAATGGACATAATAGGGACTGAACGGGGAGAGGGGCACAAATGGGAAGGGAAGACCTATGACCCAACTGTATGGTTTTCTTGCATCCAGTTGTCACCCCAAAGGTAACTTGCCTGATTTTTAGTAGCTTTGCCATCCATCTTCTGCGATGAGTAATCATTGCTGGATGAATCACCCCAATACCTCAAATGCTTCTCCTCTATTGGTTTAGTTGTTATGGCAGCTGTCTGCTTCATCCATGGAATGCAAGGCTCAGATGTCCCCTTCTCTGTAACCTGAGGAATGTCAGAGGCAGGTAATAAAGGTTGCTTAAATAATAACCTAAGACTCTTCTCTCAAAGATCCCAGCCTTGAGACCAAGTACTATTTAGAGAAGGATTTTTTGTTTTGTTTTGTTTTTGAAATGATGTTCAGGTTTGGAGGTTGGATTGTGGTGATATTTATATCTACATATCCAGTTCCAATAGGATAGATGTGATTGTGGGTGAAGAAAAGGTTTACAGGGCTAAATGGGTTATTTTTCAAGTGTTTCAAAAATTAGAACGACTTTTATACTTTTCCTTAATTCTGAAGCACTTTCAAAGGAAGAATTTCCCACTTTCCTTTTGCAGTATTTCAGGATACACTTAAAAAACTCCTCATACCTGTCATAGCTATTATCACAGTTAAATTTTAGAAGGCAATTTTGTAACTCTTGCAAACAAAGGGCTTATTAAAAAGAGGAAAAGGTCACCAAATAGTGTAAATCTTAAGTCAGAGGGAAGATGCTTGAACTAAGCAATCTTACCCAATGATGGATAAATTTAGAAGTGTATAATTATTGATTTATTATCCTTGTCTCAAGAAGGTCATCAGAAACTTGTCTGCTTAGGGCTTAAATGCTTAAACCTGATGATAGCTGTTTGGTCTTCATCAAATACACAAAATCACCTCTTAACACTAAGCCAACTTGCTTAAATACTGATGGTTTCTCAGTAATAGCAGGACAAAGATGTTATGGGTAACTTAAATGCATTGATAATACACAAACCTCGTCTGAGGCATTGATTTTAACTTCGTAGCCCATCTGCTATTTTACTGGAGCTATTAATAAGTTAAATGATCTTACTTTCATTCCCAGGGTCAACTCCTTGAAGATGCACTGGCCTTGCTCCATTGGCTCCTCTCCAGTCCCAGTTTCAGCACTAAGATAGCCCCTGTCGTGCAGGTGGGGGCCAGGGTTTGGGCAACAGTCCCAGACAATGATAGGAAGAGAGGGGATGTTGTGAAATCATCTCCAGGCCAGGCAGGAAGTCCTGAGTGGTGTGTGGAGGGAGGGCACATATATTTAGCCATGCCAGATGCATTCTGGAGGGGCCATTCCCCAGAAATGTATTTCAAGTACAACAGTGCCCCTCATTTATCTGGCATACCGAGGGACCAATAATTACAACAGTGTCTGTATTTCAGGTACAACAATGTCTGTCACTTATGTGGCATAATTTGGGACACAAGATTGTTTTATTAATGAAACATATAAATGAGGAAAGGAAGGAAGGAAAGAAGGAAGCTGGGATCAGTTCAGACAATGCCCATGACAAACATCAATGTGCCAGCTATGTAAAACAAATCTTACAGAAAAAAAATCTTGGTTTTAAAAATATTTTAAACTTTTTATGATGATTAGGTTAGTTATTAAGAACATGTAGCAAGAGTAGCTACAGAACTTCTCCAGTGGGAAAAAAGTGAACTAGCCTGGGAAGAGTGATTTCCTTTACTGCCAGTCGCTTTCTTCAAACACCTTCAGGGGTGTAACTGTGTCTCAGATGATGAAGTTTCCCAGAAGTCTGGACACTCTCCCACCCAGTGGAGGTATCACCGGCATTGAAGTGATCATATTGTGCTCAGAAAAATAGAGAGAGAAAAAAAGCAAAACTAGATGTTTGGCTAGCCTCCAGTTTTGATAATGTATTTCCTGAATAGCATGAGCTGACTGTACAAATTGGGAAAATATTAGCCTTCTCCTTAATGTGATTCTAATAAATTAGAGTCTGCTTTTTTCAACCCACTCAGCAGTCTATTTCTCTCTTCTGTGTAAGCAGATCCTGTTTCACTTCAGGTTCAGAACTTTGCTTCATAATAATAATTAAGAAGTTCCACAATCTTTTACTTGGAACTTGAGACGTGGAACAAAGCCTGACCAGAAGTTGTTTTGAGTTCCAATATCTGAAAGTGTTCATAGTGCAAAAAGAAATGGGAGCTTTTCTTCCATTACAGACATAATTCTGTGTTGTTGATTCACTTTTCTAGTGGGATATAAATGGGATCTCTCATTTTTTTGTATTTACCATCTTTGTTCCAATTTGCCATCTCTTAGAAACCAAAGATCTGCACATGATTTGTATCAACAAACAAACACTTTCCAAACAATAACAATCTTGCCTGAATGCTAAAGTAAATGTGGTGTTGGAGAGAAGGCAGGGCCAAAATCAGGGGAACTGGGGTCCAGCATTAGCTTTGCTAATTAGCAGGCTTTGTTCTCCGAGTGAAATACTTAACCTCTCTGGGCCGACTCCACTGGTGGGAATTTGACGGTTAAGTGAAATAACATGTGGGGAAAGGCTAGGGAAAGTACAGCAGCTATAAAAGCATAAGATGTTCAGTTTATATTTTCATTTTCCTTCTTTGGGAAGTTGTTGGGGGAAGAGGGAAGAGTAAATTCTTCATTATGTAAAGTTTACTCTCGTTGCTTAAAAAGAAGATTGGAGAGACTTGGCCACTAGTTGCCAGATTTCTGAGCCTAATTCCCCCATTCTCAGAATCATGGAATACCAGGAATCTGTGCATAACTGTCTCACCATCCTATTCTATTCCCCTTTTCCTAAATGCCCACAGTGCCTTTAACAAATTATGACAATAATATTGTATTTTCAGGGCTCCACCAGGACTGTAGTATAGATTTTGAAGACATAGGTCAGTGATTAAGAGAGGGCATAAGAGAAGAGAATGAATGGAAAGAAGAATGGGCTGCGGACTTTAGGAGGGAAGTAGGGGGAGAGCAATTTAAAGTGCTCTGTGAATGTAAGGGTGCATGACTGAGGACCAACAAGGGTGAATAGGTTAAATTGGTCAATAGTCAATCTTAGGTGAACTTGAACCATCTTTCAAAATGGCTTTAGGAGATATTAGGTGGGTGGTCACTTTTCAGCCCCTTTTGTTACTTGACACAACCTACAGTCTGTCCAGAAAGCCAAATAATGCTATTAATTTAACTCTTCTTTTTGTGCAAGATGTCAGAAAATGGGACCAGGTTACTGCTGGAGGCAAAGACCAACAGTAGTTAGCATAATAAATGCAAGGGGTCTGTCAGAAGGCTGATGGACCTTGGGCTGTAGCAAGGGCTAAAAGCTATGCACTGATTGTTCTGTTGAGATAATAGTGGCTCAGGGCAATCCCCTAACCCAGCAGAGATTCGGAGAGCCACTCCACTAGAGAGTAGGTCTCCGCCTGGTTCCCCCAATAACTTCTAAATTTATATTTCTTGTCTAGTATATCCATTTGCATGTGGCCCTTTCTCCAGATTCTGAATCCTTGGTGCAAAAGGTTGCAGCAGGTTACCCCATCAGTCCCCCTTCAGTTGTGATTTGAAGAAGAGCAGAGTCTTGGTGGCCTTGGCTTCATCCTCTGAAAAGAATGCAGATGATACAGGGGGATATCTCATATACATATATATCTATATATCTATATATCTACATATCTACATATCTATATATCTATATATCTATATATCTATATATCTATATATCTATATATCTATATATCTATATATACATCTATATCTATCTATATCTATCTATATCTATATCTATATCTATATCTATATCTATATCTATATCTATATCTATATCTATATTAGAGGCCCAGTATCTATATTTATATCTATATCTATATTAGAGGCCCAGTTCATGAAATTCATGCATGTGTTGGGTCCCTAGTGGCGGCTGGGGCCTTCCTTCACTCCATGCTGCCCCCTGGTGGTCAGTGCACATCACAGTGAGTGATCCAACTTCTGGTCGGTTGAACTCCTGAGGGGACACTTTGCATATTAGGCTTTTATATATATAGATATACATTATATATATATATATATATATATATATATATATATATATATATATATATATCCTAGAGGCCCAGTGCACAAAAATTTGTGCACTCGGGGGGGGGGGGAGGGGGGGCCCCTCAGCCCGGCCTGTGCCCTCTCGCAGTCTGGGACCCCTCAGGAGATAACGACCTACTGGCTTAGGCCTGCTCCTGGGTG